ACACACACACACACACACACACACACTCAAACATACACAAACACACTCCAGCCCTATTAGTGCCTGATAAACATTAACCGCCAATCACCAATAACTACCGATCATCGATCTCTGACCCCATTAACCTCCTCCTTGTACCCTTTTGTCACTGGTCACTCATTGGCCACTGTGTTTTAACCAACGGTTGACCACTGTTAGGCCCCATTCACAACCAAAAGTTGATTTGCAGACTAACAGCACCGCAGATCAAACATGGCCGACCCACTTGAAAGTTTGCCACATAATCTCCTAATAGCAGGCACTCAATAGATTTCCCGCGGGAATCAAGCGGCAAGCTTTCAAGTGGGGTGGCCATATTTGGTCCACGGATCTGCTAGTCCGCGGATCACTTTTTGTTGTGAATGCGGCCTCAGACCACTTAATGACGAGCTGTACGCTGTTTTGTTTCAGCGGGCATGGGTCACCGTACACTAAACAATTATCCGATTATTCCGTATTTAAAACTGAATTCTAGGGCTCGATGCAACTTGGACTTGTTTATATAAAATCGGTGTCGAATAGTGTATTTACTTTCTAAGGGTTCCCATCGAACTGCTGATTGCAATTGATGGTTTGGATGACATGCTTTGAACTCACAGGCTTAATATCAATCATTACTGTTTCGCCAAATACTACCGAATCGAAACAAGCGTGTAATAAGTCCGAGCCCCCCCCCCCCCCCCAATTAAGGTAGAGGTGCACTCAATTAAGTGATCACTGCCTCGCCCAAGGCGTTCTAATAAGTCTCATTGTTTATGATGATTGTCAAATATGTTTGAGTTTAGGCAATGACGGAATGTTTGCACGGAGGCGCACAGTTCAGTTTTTGTTTGCGAGATTGGGCGAATTGTTCAAGGCACTGATCCCTACTTAATTCGTTTTTGTAATAAAAGGCGATGTTAAACCTGGCCCGTAAAAACGCTGTGTGATTAAGGTGAACGGAGTTATTAGTGGTCGTAAGTTAATAAAAGAACACTTATTTGCATAGGCAGATAATCCTGTGGTATTGTCGCGCGCTTCTTGTTGCGGTGTCAGTAATTAGTAGACTAAAGTGAAGCGGATTAATTTCTGACATAACCAAGCGGTTGTGTATTTTGTTGTAAGCATTATTTTGATTTATTGATATGTCATTGGGTCCCCTACTTATTAAAAAAAAGGATATTTATATTTCTCACCAACCTTACAGCTCACAGCAGATTACCGATTGTTCCTGAAAACGTTGCATGATAAAATCATACATGTATAAATATAAATATAATATATATGTATAAAAAAAGCACAATTCAGTCCTTTACAAGACTAATATGCATTGCCTCTGACAGTAAGGTATAAATGTACAGAGTTACTTGGTTTAGTATGACTGTAACGTTTAGAGATGTCAGCAATGGAATTAAAGTGTCTGATTTGCTTTATCCCTAAATCTTAGGGATAATTTCAGCAATATCTGCATGCAAATTAAATCTTTCTTTATTACACCTTATGCAGGCAAATGATGAATAAAAGAATCCTAAACTTTAACTAACATGCAGATACAACAATGTCGTATAATATGTGTATATATAATTTTCGTGCTTCAGTTTTCACAAAATAATTATAGCCCGAAATTTAGTATGAGTGTTACACCAATAATTTGAAATTTAAAATATTTAAAATGAACACAATATTTCATTTTCCTGCACTTCTACTGCTGGCACAGCTTCGGTCGAGTATAGTAAAAAATATGTAAAAGCGAAGACCAATTTTCCACCAAAGTTATTTTTGAAACAGGCCCAAGTTGCCTGTAATGATAGAGCTGAAAAGTAAACACAAACGCGCGTGTAAAGGTGTCGCCACCGGTCGAGGAGTGTTCACTCGCATGTGTTTGTGGTCTCACGGCTGTGAACGCTCCCATCTGACGCTAGGCTCAGAAACGATATATTAAATACGGCTTTGTCTTAGGCTAACAATATCTCGTAACTTTAATTGAACCCTGAATGGCGCGATTTAAATAGGCTACCATTTACGTGTTTTATTTTTTTTTCAAATTAATCAGAAACATGCACTTCAGTAAAGATATTGCATATGATGAAAAACCAGAAGAAATTTGAATATTGATGGGCTCATCTCTCTCTCTCTCTCTCTCTCTCTCTCTCTCACACACACACATATAAAACTAAAATAACACGATTTATAAATGCATGATTGACCATCCATCATAATAAAGTCAATTACTGCACATTTTTTTCTCAAACGCCGGGTTTGTTTGTTTGTTTTTTCTCTAACTATCACATTTATAGATTATCTTCTTAGCAGGATTATTACTTTTGGTAAGCCTGTTCGTTTAAATCGTTGACGTAACACCCACTCTTGCAGTAATATCATACACGTATTTGTACATGTGCGCCGGGCATGAAATTTCATACCCCAAAAAGAACAACAATAGCATCGCCCCGGTGTGTTTTAAACCCATGCCAGTTATGAAATATAATATTTTCACCTGTCTGTTAATGATCGGATTTCAAAATGATCGGTCAAGTGCTTGCCTAACTCGCTGGCATATCGGTCAGGGGTGTTGATTTAGTAATGTTATCGTCCGTCGCGAGAGCCGCACGTGTTTAAGTGCCACTCTCCGTGTGTTTTCTCTCGCTAAAGGTGCATTAACTATTTTACAATCGTAGTAATTCTATCTGATTACGCCAACTCTAAACATGGGGTGTTATTTAAATCGCCGTCAAATAACAATCTGGATCCTTGACACAAAATGTAGTGTTAAGCGCTCGTGTGCTATTATTGACCGTCGCTTGTGTAACAACAACAAAAAAAAAAAAAAACGGCAAGGGTGCACTGGCTTTGGAATATACCTTTAGCCTGTTTCACAAAACAGGCTATGTAAATATAGCCCAAAATTAAAGTCAGTCCGAACATTTAGACATTAATTTGAGTCCACTTTGGCACATGCTAATAATAGTCCAATAAAATGCTGCCCCTGTATTATAACAAGAAAATTATGACCACTACTTCAGACCAATGTTTTATTCAACTGGACTACTAGGGGTTCATCAGGTATGAGATACGCCACAGTTTTAATCTAAAAATTCAGACCAAATTTCGACACGAAACTTTTGTGAAGCCGCCCCGGGGGTTAACCCACTCAGCCAGTTAAACACTCTCGTCCCTCGCCTCGCGAGGCTTTATTAAAACTCGCGTTGAAAAACGATATTCTTGGTCACTTGAGCTGGCACTTCACAGCCGCGTGTGCTGATTTAGTGGGCTTTTACACGCGAGGCATAATAAAAAGCCGCAATAAAGGAAGACGGATCGAAATGTACAAGAAATCTACAAGGGCCCTTGAAAAGCACACTCTTCCTTTTCAAGATGAGCCGTTTGCAGATGCGAATCGATTTGAAGGGGCTTATTGCTGAGTTAATTTGCACAATGTCTAAAAACGCGCTTTGTTAAAATGGATTTTTCCATACGCTCATCGATGCAGATGCTTTTGTACTTGAAATCAACGGTAAAATGACAAACAATATTTTCATGAAAATGAGCAGTAAATGAAATATAGTCTTTACCCGCGTTTGTTTCCCTGTCTCGCCACGGTTTATTGTCATTTAAGAACAGTATTTGATACTCAAACAAAAAAGGATATTTACAGACAGCCATAATTTTATGCAATAATGATTGGAAAGCACTATATTTAGAGGTAAAGAGATAATAACGAGGTCGATTTTAACACGCGTTTCTAGCAGAGCGATGGTTTTACCGTAGCAGGGCACACAATACGTGACATTCTAATTAAATGATATGTCCATCTTAGGGTAATTTTATGAAGGAATAATTGGAAAGCACTCCAGCAAGCGCTGGCGTGACAACTTGTGTCACTGTCAAGTGCATCGTATACGACCATCAAAGGGACGCCTCTGCTCAACACTATCAATTTCCGATTATCTGACATATGCATTTTTGTTGCATGTTTATTTGAAAACTTTTATAGTTAACATTTAATGTTAACCGGTTACTTTCATAATCCGCCCTCTTGACAACGAAACCTCACTGCATTTTGGGTTTTTAAATTTCGAGGTGATAGAACTGGAGATTCATTTTAACCGTCAAACTCTCAAAATCTTTCACTCGCCTCTCCGCAGTTTCACTGTAACTTCTTAATTATTCGAGCTTGAAAATCAATATTTTTATAGCTATTCCAACCGCTAACATGTAAGTCATTTTTCTTAAGTACCCATTGTAGTTACTTTGCCATAGAAATATGATAAAAGATGATACTAATTATCGATAATTAATTTTAACGAAGATACCTTAATGATTTCTCTGTGTAGTGAATGGTTCAAGCTTACTTTTTATTCTAAGGATGAGAAAGGCGAGTTATCATTAGTAGGGAAGTGTTATAATAATAATAATAATAATAATAATAATAATAATAATAATAATAATAATAATAACATCTGTATACACAGGGCCTTTAATGATGACACAAAGTACGTGGCTAACACTGTTGTCCGTTAACGCTTTTTTTTCTTATTGACAATATCACGTTTGACGTCTAGTTTGTTTCCGTTCTGCCCTGGAAATATCTTTAATTATTTTGTTGCTAACATAACGGCCAGGTTTGTGATTAGATAAGCAGTGCTAATCCAATTACTCTACATGCGTTTCTCTAACAACTCTTTTGTTTTGAAATCTACTTGGATTTCCCTGTATATTTAGTGTTTAATGCTAACGAAGGGAAATGCCTTAATGATCCACTTGTGAAGAAATTTAAACAAAAACAAACTCTTAACCATCCATGACAATATAATGACGTTAAAACGTACTCGTATTACGCTGACAATCTACGGCGCGTGCCTGAAATTTACAAAGGCCACCGATTGGTTAAAATCTCTCTCGGCCACGTGGGTGATATTGACAAGTTTTTCACGATAAGATATGAGGCGCGTGGCAGGCGCACGCTTAGTATTGAATCCCACTTCATAGCCGGACGGAAGGGCAACTTTGATCCTTTTGTTCTGTTATTGAATTCGCCATTTGCTGATAGGCGGAGAACGATTAGTGAAAGTATGCAGGCTTATGGATGCGACCCCTTTGCTCGACATTTTTACCCAAGCATTAATGGGTTTGACAGTGAAGCTTATTCCGGTTATTCCTCTCATTCGTACGACGGATACTCCCAGGGCGATTCCCCTGTCGATTATTTGAGCAGTTCGGACCAGGAGAATAACAACAGCAGTAACAATAACAATGACAGTAGCAGCAGCATTGGAAAGGTCCGACGACGGAGGAAAAAGGGGGCCGGCCAACAAGTATTTCAGAGACAGGCGGCGAACTTGCGCGAGCGAAAGCGAATGCAGAGCATTAACGAAGCGTTTGAAGGATTAAGGGCACACATTCCGACTCTTCCGTACGAGAAGAGGCTGTCGAAGGTTGACACTTTGAAACTGGCTATTGGATATATTAGTTTTCTGACAGAGATTGTTCAGTCGGACCTTCAATCTAAGGAAAATATTAACACGCAGAATAACGACCAGCCGAGGAAAATCATAATACATTGCCACAGAGGTGAGTTGCATAGGTTTTTTTCTCTGCTTGTTGGCTTGTTTTAAAAATTCCTCGAACCCGAAGAGAGAGAGAGAGAGAGAGAGAGAGAGAAAGAGAGAAAGAGAGAGAGAGAGGGGTACATTTTTCCTTCAATATCTCTCCTATGGACTTAATTTGCCTCGTTAAAAAGACTCAAAATTAATAAACAAAAATCAAAAGAAATGAAAGCACACCGTTTATCGATATTTTTCTTTTTTAGATTCCAAACTATATATTGATCAATTAACAACCTAAATATCATACCAGAAATGGATTCGCTCCATGCCTTTTTTATGTGTGTGGGTGTTTTTCTCTCTTCCTGTGTGACGACTCGATTCTCTATAAGTAAATTACATTATACTAAATAATCTAAAAGCACATAACTATATATCTTATAAAAACAACTACTTCGTAATCGAGAAAATAACTGGACAATCTGCATTACAATTTTTGCATCATGCGTTCATAACAATACTACATTTTTTCGCAAATCGAGAAAAATTCCTCGCATTATTGACCACAACTAACTTAGATTTCTTAGACCATAAAAATGTAAAGGGATTACAAATAATTGTAAAAGAGACTCGTGCAGGATCCTATCTGAATATTTTAACAAGCGGATTTAGTTGATTGCAAACTCCTTGTGGTCTCCGTACAACTGTATTAAAATTTGTCAACATGTTAACAGTGTTTTATAATGTCAATCAATACAAAAATTCTCGTCGTTCAATATCCTAGAAATTGCCATCGACTAGGACAGCTTAAGACTGATATACTCATGCCAATGGTGGATCGGTGGAGAGAACAGGAGTGCTCCCTCCCTAGCACACACATTTATTATTTGTAAGAACGCTCCCCCTTCCCCAAAAAAATTAATAAAAGCAAATAAATAAATAATTAATAAAAAACGTAACAACGAAACAAACCTACACTCTATCACTATGACTTACATAGGCTTATTGCAGTAAAGACTTACATATTACAGTAAAATTATCCTTGTCTACTTTGTAATATGATTTTTTATCCTTGCAATACCACCACTCTGTGTACAATTGTGCACCCGCCAGTGCGGTAGTGCACGTATTGTGACTCACAGAACAATTACGACCAGATAGGTGAGGAAAACAGATATCATAATTGCCGAAATCTGTAAATTGCGTGTGTTCAAAGTTCCTGGCAGTGTCTCGTCATTTAATGGAATCGTTTGTATGATCATTCTTTGCGTGATCTTTTGGTTAATTCATTAATTTGATTTTTTGAAAAGATTTACTTTGAGTGTGATGTTTTTTTATAACACGTTAGATTACAATGTCAAATGTGCTGCTTATTTCTTAGAGTGTTTAAAGCGTTTTACTGCCTATAACATGTAAATATTTTTTACATATGAATCTAATTAAATAATAATTGTCTTCTATTTAATACATCAATATGTATATCTGAATATATGACTATTTCACAAAAGAATTTCTGAAAATAGATAAAACGTAGTGGTTAATAAGTTGCCATTTTTGTTCCTTTTTGACTATAGTTACATACTAACCATTGCAATGCTATTTGCTTTTCTCTCAGTTATATAAACCCGAACACGTTTATTTCAGTGACAATTTGAAGGTCGGTACTTTCACCCCAGCGTGCGTTTAATATTACGACCTACACCATAGAATTCTCTACAGAGGTCCTTATACCAATCTTTAAATGAATTAAATATGCGAAGAATAAACAAAAATATGTTGTTCAGTTACACACGTTATACATTTAGCAAAGTTCAAGCGATGGGTGCTATTGACAAATTGTTTAAAAATCGAGATTTGATTGGGCGAATATCTACTTAGTGACGTACCTCTATCTTCTTTCATTAATTCAATTTTTATTATATTAATGTTCTAATTTCTAAAACATATCTCTGTAAAAATGCCCGGCTATTTGCAATAGCGGTTAGCTGAAAGAAACACCTGTTAGCAATGAATATTAGTACACTTAATGCAACTAACATACGTATTACTATCGAGAGGTAATAGATATTTAGTTTAACAAATAGATAAAGACATACGGTTACAAGTAGGACAAATATCTAGAAGACTATAAGTGCAATCATTTTCTTCTTTTGGCTTAATCTTTTGGCGTGAATTAGCAGGGTTTAACGTATATCTTATGGTGGTAGGTTTCACTATTATCTGGTTTCTGCGACTATTAAAGCATGCTTAATGGCAGAAACCCACGTCCACTGTCCAGTCTAGTTCATTCTCTGTCGGTGATTACTCAATCTTTTTAATGGTCAAATTTAATAACCAATGGTTAATTTTATAACCATAAAAATCATAGTTCTCTATAGCATATGTGTTTCTTTTACTGCACATAATAGAATCATAGAAAACCTGCTTTATTAAAATTCTGTTGCTACCAGGAATGTTCTAATTTTAAGAAATTATGACTTAAAATACAGTAACTATAAAATCCACAATTTCCCCCATTGATAAGATAGCCTTATTACCGTACTCCTGTCCTGCACGAGTCTGGAGGGTGTCCTGTACTTGGACCCCTTTTTAAAGTCCAGATTTGAACGAACAAATCCACTTAACGCCAGCACTAGTTTAATATGAAAATTACCCCTAGCACAAAACGAAAAAACGATGACCAAACAAGCTAGCGGTCGTGTTTTCATCTGCTGATTTTTTAATTGCTTATAATAGATCCAAATTGTTCAGTTAAAGTACTTATTTCAGCGCATTGCAGTGTTCATGAACGGCTGGAGTTTTATGAACTTAAAGGCAGTTGTTAAAATATTAAAAATGGGGTGATACAATGTGGTACAATGGGGTGGTACAATGATAGAATTACTTCCCATGGTCTCCGTTGAACTTTGGGACAGCGATATTTTCAAATCTAAATTTTAACTTAAAAGTCTTCTCGTTTACAAAAAAAGAAAAAAAAAATCATTTTTACTTCTTGACTTTTCGTCTTGGGCAATTATATTAAAACTTCTGATTGATGGTCGTTATAATCATGCTGGTCATATGTTATTATTACTATTATAATGGCTTATCTTCTTCTTGGTTTGGTCAGTAATTTAGAATATTTATCGCGGCACTTTTCGCTGGTCGTGATGATAACAACCGATTATCAGAATTTACGTTTTGGACAGAAACGTCAATTATAGACCCGTGACACATCGGGGTTTTAAGCATTTATTCTATAAGTGCTTAAAAAAATTGACACTCGTTAAGTCTCATTATAACGCGGCGGGGATGAATGTGCCGTAACTGAACGCTATCGCCTGGACATTTGACCGTTAAAAGGACAGCAAATTGATGAATGACCATAAAGAATATTGTCGCGTTAAATGACCCGGTAAGTTCCAAATGCTACTATTAACTGCAACGCTTTGTTTACAAATCCTTTATCTGTTTTGTGTAATATGAGAAGAAGTGCAGGCCAAAGCGGGCAATTGTTGTTTGTAGGATAAAAGGTATTTTGTACAGTAAGAATTATTAACACGTAGCCGTGGTGACGTTCAGTTTAAGGATCGCAAAATGCACGCGCGTGCACGTGGCATTTCGACCTACATTTTTGAGCCCTTCATGTAGCGCTTCAAGATACATCTAAGCACCTTAAAGTGTAGAGCTACATGTACTATCGTACTCTCTTGAGAGATAAGTATTTTATAGTTTTCGTTATAATGATGTGGAATGTTTCACTATTCTCTTTTGTGTGACTTTCAGCGCTCTTATAAAAAAAAAAAATCTGCGTTTTGGATTATGACCTTAAATATAACATATACAAAGCGAATGATTGTGTCGGCCTTTCATTGCTACAGGTAACTATACGTAACTCAACATTTGTTTTAATTATAACTTTATTTTATAGTTTTAAATCTACTTCATATGTACTTGGCCCGTGCGAGTGGAGGCAATGTGAGCTTATTTCGTCAAAAATGAAAACTACAAAAACTATTATTATTTTTCAAAGAAAAGAAAAGATTCAATTTTTTCTTTTTTGTTATTTATTTCAATGACGAAATAAATGAACCATGCTCTCTAATACACAGAGAGTATTCAAAATACTAGAGAAGATCGTGTCATTTTCAGTTCTCTTTTTGAGTGAGTGAATTTTGATAATTTTAAAAATTATACTTTGTCTTGAGTAACATCTGAAAAAAAAAAAACGCTTAAATTGTAAACAGATTTCTTTCTTTAACCAATTATCGGACATGTCAACATTCAGCCGAAGAAAGGGTATCAGTGTCCAAATTCGCTGACTAGATAGCGCCACGGAATATCTTAATTGGAAATATCACCTGTTGAAACGTCCCAACTACCNACGATGACCAAACAAGCTAGCGGTCGTGTTTTCATCTGCTGATTTTTTAATTGCTTATAATAGATCCAAATTGTTCAGTTAAAGTACTTATTTCAGCGCATTGCAGTGTTCATGAACGGCTGGAGTTTTATGAACTTAAAGGCAGTTGTTAAAATATTAAAAATGGGGTGATACAATGTGGTACAATGGGGTGATAGAATTACTTCCCATGGTCTCCGTTGAACTTTGGGACAGCGATATTTTCAAATCTAAATTTTAACTTAAAAGTCTTCTCGTTTACAAAAAAAGAAAAAAAAATCATTTTTACTTCTTGACTTTTCGTCTTGGGCAATTATATTAAAACTTCTGATTGATGGTCGTTATAATCATGCTGGTCATATGTTATTATTACTATTATAATGGCTTATCTTCTTCTTGGTTTGGTCAGTAATTTAGAATATTTATCGCGGCACTTTTCGCTGGTCGTGATGATAACAACCGATTATCAGAATTTACGTTTTGGACAGAAACGTCAATTATAGACCCGTGACACATCGGGGTTTTAAGCATTTATTCTATAAGTGCTTAAAAAAATTGACACTCGTTAAGTCTCATTATAACGCGGCGGGGATGAATGTGCCGTAACTGAACGCTATCGCCTGGACATTTGACCGTTAAAAGGACAGCAAATTGATGAATGACCATAAAGAATATTGTCGCGTTAAATGACCCGGTAAGTTCCAAATGCTACTATTAACTGCAACGCTTTGTTTACAAATCCTTTATCTGTTTTGTGTAATATGAGAAGAAGTGCAGGCCAAAGCGGGCAATTGTTGTTTGTAGGATAAAAGGTATTTTGTACAGTAAGAATTATTAACACGTAGCCGTGGTGACGTTCAGTTTAAGGATCGCAAAATGCACGCGCGTGCACGTGGCATTTCGACCTACATTTTTGAGCCCTTCATGTAGCGCTTCAAGATACATCTAAGCACCTTAAAGTGTAGAGCTACATGTACTATCGTACTCTCTTGAGAGATAAGTATTTTATAGTTTTCGTTATAATGATGTGGAATGTTTCACTATTCTCTTTTGTGTGACTTTCAGCGCTCTTATAAAAAAAAAAAATCTGCGTTTTGGATTATGACCTTAAATATAACATATACAAAGCGAATGATTGTGTCGGCCTTTCATTGCTACAGGTAACTATACGTAACTCAACATTTGTTTTAATTATAACTTTATTTTATAGTTTTAAATCTACTTCATATGTACTTGGCCCGTGCGAGTGGAGGCAATGTGAGCTTATTTCGTCAAAAATGAAAACTACAAAAACTATTATTATTTTTCAAAGAAAAGAAAAGATTCAATTTTTTCTTTTTTGTTATTTATTTCAATGACGAAATAAATGAACCATGCTCTCTAATACACAGAGAGTATTCAAAATACTAGAGAAGATCGTGTCATTTTCAGTTCTCTTTTTGAGTGAGTGAATTTTGATAATTTTAAAAATTATACTTTGTCTTGAGTAATATCTGAAAAAAAAAAAACGCTTAAATTGTAAACAGATTTCTTTCTTTAACCAATTATCGGACATGTCAACATTCAGCCGAAGAAAGGGTATCAGTGTCCAAATTCGCTGACTAGATAGCGCCACGGAATATCTTAATTGGAAATATCACCTGTTGAAACGTCCCAACTACCAATTTAGTTCAACTTTTCTCCATCGCCCTAAATCTTCCAAACAACTGCTCCTTCTAATCAAGTTCATGTGACTCCATGCATTATCGTCTTGCCTGTCTGTCACGAATTTAGATGGTTTTAATACATAGAACTGTTACAGATGAAACATGTTGTGGTTGACCTAAGTCTGTTTGTGTGTGTAAAGAGATTTAGAATAAATAAATAAATAAATAAATAAATAAATAAATAAATAAATAAAACGCACAAAACAAAACAAAACAAAACATAACCAGTCGAAATAATTAGTAAAAAGCATGTCCCATTCTTCATGAGGTTTTATCATAAAAGGACAAACAGACGTCGTATATTAGATATATATATATATATATATATATAAGGTTTTCTTATGTATATCTTCTTCATTGTTGAATTATGGTCCAGAATATCTCTGGGAAAGCACGCACCCCTTTTCACCAACTACGCTGAAATTTCCTCTGAAATTAATTGCCGCTGGTAAACGAAAAAAAAAAGTCAATGTAAAGAGTACAGGTGAAAGCCATTGATTACACCGGTATATTTAATAGGGACCCTTCATTTAGACACAATTAAATATAATACGACAGCGTTCTCATTATTAATTATGACGTTAAGCATTGATTAACTAGGGTCTGAAACATTAAAGAAGAGGCGTATGAATATAGCTGTCGGATGGATATGTAACCAATACGCCGTGAAGCGATGCAAACAAACACGCTTAGGCAGTGATACTGGTATTCATTTGAAATGGGGTATTGTGCTTTTTGTTGTTTTGTGTGTGTGTGTGTGCACGTGTGTATGTGTGTGTGTGTGTGTGTGTGTGTGTTGAAAGGATTTTTGGCTAGCATATAATCAGAGGTCGGAGAAAGGGAAATCACATCAGGCTGACGACTTTCTTTTATCAGTATGGTAAAACGTAAAAATAAAAAAAAAGAAACATAAAATAAAACTTTTAATGAAAACAAATGAAATATCAATAGGCCTATCATTAGCATGTGTCAACAAATAAAATGCATTTCACGTGTCGGTTTTGGAGACAACTACTACTACTACTAATACCACTACTACTGATAATAATAATACATTTTTTTCTTATAATAATAATAATAATAATAATAATAATAATAATAATAATAATAATTAAATAGCTATATTCTTCCTTGCAGCCTTCCAAGACGAATGTGAACAGAACGGGCTCCCTCCTCTGGCGGGTCACTCCCTTTCTTGGTGCGACGATAAAAAGACCCCGTGTGTCACCCAACAGGGCCCCAAAAGGACCATGATTGCCAAAATCTGGATGCCGGAGGACCCACGTACTCGAAATATTAATGGTGAACTTATCCTCGAACCCTTATCTGACGAGGAGGAACATTCAAATAATAACGGAGAGCCGGATACGGATTCTGTTACGGATCATCCGGAACCGGAACCGGATTCAGATCCGGAGAGTTAGGATTTATTTGGGAAAGTTTATGTCTAGGCAGCTTTTTAGGAATAGTAGGCAGGTGCAAATGGAGGTTTTGACGCAAAATATTTACAACAAGGATCGTTCTGCTCACCCCTACCCTCGATATTGGTTTATTTCAAGACGTAGATCTGAATGTAACTGCTGATATTTATTATTTTTGTCTGTGGTTCAAATAATTTATTGTGAAATATTACACCGTATTTGTTGTTTAATTCATCCATTCATTCGCTCATTCGTTCGTTCGTTCATTCATTCATTTATTCCTTCATTCATGTATTCTTCCTTGCATCATCAAAATCAGAAAAACCTCCTTGATATTATTTATATTAAATCTAATATACAATGTAAATTAGTACGGCCTAGACCACAAAGTATGCAATGCTTCTCAATTAAGCCTCTCGTTCATGTACAGTGTTTTAGGCCCCTTACTAATAGGATAAAAAGCTGGCACCTTAGTAAGTTCTACCAGTACGAACGAATATTTCACTCAAGCTGTCTGCTATGAGTCTTTTTATATAAAATTTAAAAAAGAAAGATCATTTTACCATAGATCACTTGTTCACACAAAGTCGCAGTAAGGCCTACATCCCCCTCCCCCCCCCCAAAAAAAAAAAAAAAAGCGATTATAAAACAAACTATCTGTGCATAACCGGTCCGTGATTG